GCAGTTTAGAATCATTTTTGTATATTAAGAAAATTCCCTTCTTTTCTCTACAGCTCTAACTTGCAGGGAAACCATCTGGGTTCAGAGTATTGACAAGTTCTGAAAATAACCACTCCGGTAGTCACTCTTACATAAGTCATTCTACCAGCGAATTCACTTTTCACAGTAAGCACTTGGTCAAAACAAACTTTTGCAACATCCTGGAAATGCAGGAGACAAGTAGAGAATATAAGATACACAAAGTTAAGTAGCTTTGCCAGTGTTTTCCAGTGAATCCTTGGCGCTGCTGTAAAACCTGAGGCGGAGACCCTGCAGAGTTTTTATAAATGCCCCAATCTCCTAAATTTTTATAATTTAGACATTTCAAAATTTAGAAAATAACTTTAGCACTTTCCAAGTATGTATTTAATATTGTTTTAACAAAATATTTTCTGTCAAAGTGCCATTATCTTCCTGTTGTTAGAATAATAATAAATGTACGGATTCACATACATTTTTATGATGGAAGACACAATAAGTATTTTTCAGAAGCATCTTGCATTTTGAGCCTGAATTACATCTGACTTTTTAAGGAATATTTCACACAAAATGTAACAAAAAGCAATACAAAAATGATATACTACCCTCTGCTGTGTATTCTAACAGCACTCAGAATATACTGGGATCGGGCATGGGAGGGGGCAGGAGGGCATGAGTAAATTCACACCCAAATGGGTGCGGTGCACGCTGTCTGGAGGATGGGCATGCTTGTAGCTTTGACTCGGGTGGTGCAAAGGCAATTTATGTGACCAAAGCATTTGTATCCCCGTAATATTCTGAAATTAAAAAAAAGAAAGAAAAAGAATATAGCTCATAGAATTTTTTTCATTGTTTTATATTAGATTAAACCTCATAAAATTGCAAATATTCTTTGTTTGGACCTACAAAAATAGCAAGTTTGTATAGATGAATTTAATTCTTAGCTACATAACTTATTTGATTTGCTCATTGATTGTAAGCAACTTGAAGGCTAAAGACTATACATTATTTGTCTTTCTATCTCAAGCACAGAGTATATACAGGACTAGATGAATAGTATATATGACAAATGATTGGTAAATTTAAATAAATGAATAAATGAATGAACTGCTCTCAGAATTCAATACATTTGAATTCTAGGATGTAGCCCCCGGAAAAATAAATGTTCCATTCAAAAGAAAACTGTGGTTTTGTTTTGGATTTTTAATTTGTATTTACACAATGACAAATATCTAGATGATTGGTTATATATTTTATTGTTCATGGGGAAGTTGTGATGAGTAGATATAGTTTAAAACTGAAACATAGTTACAGCTATAGAATTTCTATTCTTTCTGTATATATTATACACCATACAAACAAACTATTAAACCTAATAAAAACTATTCTAGTCCTGCCAGAAGTCAGGGCATAACAAATGTGTGAACTCCTGCATTTAAATATTCATACCTTGTGGAATATGACATTAATTTCAAGAGAATAAATAAATAGAACGTCCCTCTCATCAGAGCAAAGGAAAATAGAACATAGTCATCTCCGGGGGGTGGGGGGCGGGTGGGGAAAGACAATGTACAGCAGGTTGCAATTTAAGCTACTGAAAATTTCTTGACTCTTTTTCAACTTTGCACTTTTAAAGATACCCTTACTGTCACATGCTTTTAAAAAAATGATACTCCTTGTATTATTTGTTGCCTATTAATCTGCATTGTTTTCTGTCTAAGCAAAACCTGCTCTTCCATAGCTCCATACAGCTGGTTCGTGGATGGAGAGCCCAGCTTGGTGCTCAGCCTGCAGGACCAGGCCAAAGAGTGCTCCACAAAAGGGGCTTGTTAGGGAATTCTGGCACTAGAGTCAAAAAAATGGAACTTTCTATAATGGAGCATTGGGCCATTCTAGGAAAAATAAAAGCTACTGTTTCTGGGGCTCTTACTGTGTATGTCCAATATTTTATAGATATCATTTTATATAATTTTTACAACGATCATGCAAGATAAATATTGTTATCCCATTTTACAGATAAGCAAACTAGCTCAGAGAACTTAAACAGTTTGCCCATGTCACTTAGGTAGAATCCAGGTCTCACACTGTGCAAAGCCCACTATCCTTCCACCCTGCAGTGCTGCCTCTGGGCTGTGACAGCCTGAATAGTACTTACTACTACAAATACCAAGTAGTACTTACTCTGTGCCTGGCATTGGACAAGGCAGTGTTCCTTGGCTTCATGAAGCTTATTGTGGGTGAGACATAAAATAAATAACTTCCCAAGTGCATGTCGTCCAGTAGGGATAAAGTACTATGAAGAAAAACATAGCAGCATTAATGGAATGACGTGTGAGGGTGGCTGCTCTTTAGCTAGTGTGATCAGAGCAGTCGTCTCCGGGAAGGGAAGGTGCCATGTGAGCCGAGGCCTGGATGAAGTCAGGGAGTGAGATGTGCAGATACTGAAGGAAACCCTGGAACATACTTAAGAGAACCTTGAAAGAGCACATTCAAATTGTTGTCTTTGGCAATTTACTTTCAATCAGATTATGTTGAACCAGCTCACATGAAGCCTACCAGTTTTCTCTCTGGGGACTTCTTTGCTGCATCACGTTCACCTCCCCAAAGGGGCACTTCCTGCAGGAGTAGGAAAACATCTGCAGATGTCAAGCCTCGCCTTCCTATCCTGGCCAAGTATTTTGCAAGTGCAGTCATTGTGGGTGAGTGTAACCCAGGTTTTCATGGAATCTTTGTCCTCTGGAAACTGGACAGGGCTCTAGGGCTCCCTCTTTGCTCTCCAGCTTCCTCCAGAAACCCTAGAGAGCTGCCTCAGGAGTGAGCTTGATTAGACAAGGAACCTTCCATAGAACAAGCAGTGAAGGAGGTCACTGCCTTGCACCAGAGCTTTCATCTATATGTAGCAAGCTTCATATGTCTGCAGGTCCAGAGGAGACCACAGGTCAGCTTCAGGACAGTGGAACCCACTGATGCTTTCTTGCTCAATGAGAGCCCATACCTTTTGGGGAGCATATAAATACCAATAAAGTATTTTAATTCTCATGTTTGTAATCTAGTGGAGGAGATGAACAACATTCCTACAGTGATAAATGTCACTAATGGTACATGGTCTAAGGAAGTATGGAAGAGCAAGAGATCGCTTTTCATTGGAAAGGTTAAATCAGGTACCCTGCAAAATGTCTAGCAAAGTGACACTTAGTAAACATTCGATAAATACTAGCTATTACTTTTATCAGGATTGACTTCACATTGGAAGCAGAGTTTGAGGCAAGGTAGGATTGCCAGATAAATTGCAGGATGCTGAGTTAGTTTGAATTTCAGTTAGGCAACAAAAAATATTTAGTGTAAATGTGTTTCAAATATTGCGTGAGACATACTTATACTAAAATGGATTTTTTGCTTATCTAAAATTCAAATTTAACAGGACACTCTGTTTTTTTTATTTTCTAAATCTGGCAAATCTAAGCCAAAGATTTTTTTAGCTTTAATGAAGTATAATTGACAAATAAAATTTTTATATATTTAAGGTGTTCAACTTGATGTTTTGATATGCATGTACATCATGAAATGATTGCCACAATCAAGCTAATTAGCATATATATCACCTCATATAGTTACCTTCTTTTGTGTAGTGAGAAAACTTAGCATCTACTCTCTTAGCAAATTCCAAATATACAATACAATATTGTTAACTATAGTCATTATGCTGTACGGAGGTCTCCAGAACTTATCTTGCATGACTGAAACTTACAAGTCTGGCTTATTTCACTTAAAATAATGTTCTCCAGGTTCATTCATGTTGCCGCAAATGGCAGGATTTCCTTCTTTGTTGAGGCTGAATAATATTCCATTGTATGTTGTGTGTGTGTGTGTGTGTGTGTGTGTGAGAGAGAGTGTGTGTGTGTGTGTGTGAGAGTGTGTGTGTGTGTGTGTGTGTGTGTGTGTGTATAATATATACACACCACATTTTCTTGATCTACTTATCCACTGAGGGACATTTAGGCTGTTTCCTTATCTTGGCTACTGTGAATAGTGCTGCAAAGAACATGGGAGTGCAGATCTTTCTTCTAGATCCTGACCTCATTTCCTTTGTATGTATACTCAGAAGCGACATTGCTGGAGCCTATGGTAGTTCCACTGAGCCAAGGAGAAATTTGACATGGAGATGAAGAATGGAGAAAGTAAATTGTCATGTCCAAACGCACAGAAACAGAAAAGAACAGTATCTTTCATGGCACTTTATGCTCCCCAATAATTCGTAGCACTTAATGCTTACTATGTGACAGTCACTGCTCCAAAGGCTTTATAAATAAGCCTTGTTGAAAGGATTGTTTTATATTCCATTTCACATTCTGGTTCCCAAGAGAAATGTTTAAAATCTGTATTTCTAACTACAAGATGTTCAGAAAAAGTTGTCAAGTCAGTGACTATTATTTTTGTTTTCAGTTTATGTCTTTTTCATTTCAAATATTCTTATTCTTCATAAGAACACACACGGTGGTTATCATTATCCTTATTTTTAAATGAGGAAACTGAGGCATAAAGAGGGAAAGTAACTTGTCCGAGAGCACAGAGCTGGAAAGTGGTGTGGCTGGGATTATGAACCCAGGATGCTCGACTCCAGGGGCTGCTATCTTAACCATTTTGGGCAGAGAAAAATAAACTGTTCAACATAAGCTTACAGAAGGCCTCACTCTCCATATTCCTTCAAGTGTGGAAATACGGGTATGTCCTCCTAGATTGCCCTTTTCGTTCTCAAAGTCACCCTGTTCCTGGAATGTGGGATCTTCCCCTAACTGCTGGCTGGGGAATCAAATGCTACCTTTGCAACAGCTTATCGGAAGCAAACAAGCTGAGGAGGATTGAGCAAGAATTTCTGGGACACCAACACTGTAGAAGGGACAAAGGATGGAAAGCGAGCATTGACGGGTCTGAGCAGGACAAAGGTAATGATTAACTGAACCTCTAGCAGATTTAAATGGATGGGAGCTAGGACTGGAGTCAATCCTTTCTTTCAGCTGGAGGGCTCTCCGTGAGCCAGCCCCACCCTCAGAAAAGATGTTTTCGATGAGGATCGTCTGCCTGGTCCTGAGTGTGGTGGGCACAGCATGGGTATGGTTCCTTTTATTTTCTCTTTTTGCTTTCTCTGTGCTGTTATTCCAGAAAGAGCTTGGGGGTCTGAGTCTACCTATTCTATGTCCCGACACACTCTCAGCCTCATAAACTCCAAGCCTTGGAGGCAAGAGCCTGGATGGGCTGGACACCTCAAAAGTACACGGTAATACGACCCCAAGGGGAAGATCTTAGATGGGCTAAAGTATCCAATTCACAGGGGAGGCTTAACATCTGTCGTTCAGTCCTAGGCATTGCTGTAGCTGCTGTTGCTGTTTAAAGGGCAAGAAATCTTTGCCATCTTTGAGGTTATAAAGTCTTAGGGCATTCTAATGCTAGTTAATGCAACAAAACATTCTATGGTAACATTTTTTTCTCTAATTCTTGATTTCTTGCTATTTGTCCATAATAAGCAGAAAGTTTGGTTTTTAGTACAGTTTTTCTGAAAGGCTGTTTTTGTGTTTCTTTCAAGACAAAAGAAAAAGCAAAGGAGTTATATTTGGAAACATCTTTGCAAAATCAGAAGAGATGAGTTGATAAAACAATATGATTTTTGGAAGTAATTGTATTATTTTAAGAAACCTTCAAAATATTGCAATACTTTTTAAAATTAACTTTAGACACATATATAAAAGAAGAGAAACTTCATTCAACAAGGCTTCTGAAACTCTCCAATCTTATAAAATTATGACAAATATGTTCAAGAAACTCAGCTACTTCCTGGTTAGCTATCCAGGATGTAAATTATTGCAATTTATTTCTTGCCCTTCACCACTCATAAAGCCTAATAACAGGCAGTAAACAGAAAAAACTAAAAAGAATTTTCTAACTTAATTCTCTCTCTTGTTGTAAAATAATAAATATAATTTTTGTGGGAAATAAAACTAAAATCATTTGCCAAGGCCATATTTTGAATAATGCATAGGTTTCAATTATTTCTCCTGTTTCCCTTATTGGCATAATCAGTTTTTGCCTGTTTTTATTGTTGTACCACTTTATTCTGAAATATGTTTGAATTTATTATTATATTTCTTGGACAAAAAAATTGCACTTCCTCCTTTAAATAAATTGTTCTTGATTCCCTGAATTAGTATTATTATTATTTGGGTGTTTTTTAAAAAATAAGAATGAGACTGCAAATGTTAACTAATTACAAGCATAAACTGTCCCAGATTTTAACGCAGTCACAGCAAAACCCTTGTAAGTTGGTGGTTTAAAATAAAAATAGTTAAAACCTAGAAGTCATCTTTATTTATTAGGGTACAAAGTCTTGTTGAAAGAATTGTTTTATATTCCATTTCACATTCTGGTTCCCAAGAGAAATGTTTAAAATCTGTATTTCTAAGTACAGGATGACCATTATTTTTGTTTTCAGTTTATGTCTTTTTCATTTCAAATAATAAGAAATTATTGCATGAATGAATAAACTAAAAACCTTCTCCAAATCTGAATTGGCCATATTTGTGTCCTTGGTAAATGCTTATCAAAATTAGAAATCCTTCTCTAAAGATTATGGTAGAAACTTGAAGGAGAGAGGAACTTTAAATCAAGATAGTGTAGTTCTTTTCCTACTGAAGCAGGAATTACAGGAGAAACAACTGTTTTTAAATTTTTCAATTATCTTTCTATTCTCAGTCATTAGTAAAAATGGAAAGGTAAAATTTAACTAATTTTGTTGACTCAAGTAATTTTCCTTTTATAATGGATCTTTTAAAACTAACATTTGTCAAATGCTTACTTAGTGTCAAACACAGTTAAGAAATTTGTACACCTTACCTCCTTTAATTCTCATAACAACTCCATAAAATAGGTTTTAGGATTTGCACCTGAAGATAAGAAACCCAAAGCTTGTGGAGGCCCTGAGGCTGGTGCCCCTAATCCCTAAGAGAACGCCTTCTCTTCCTTGGGACTTGTAGGCATGCCAGTGTCTCTTTCCCTTCTGGCTAATGTTGCTGTTGCTCTCTTTTGTGTGTGTGAATGAATCTTTAAAGGCTGCAGATACCGGTGAAAGTGAATTTTTAGCTGAGGGAGGAGGCGTGCGTGGCCCAAGAGTGGTGGAAAAACATCCTTCTGGCTGCAGAGATGCAGACTGGCCCTTCTGCTCTGATGAAGACTGGGTGAGTAGGAGGCCTTGGGGAGCAGGAGGTTCCTTGCTTGTGGTGGTAGAGGGGCTCACAGGCTGACCTGGGTGGTCACAGAAACTTTCCCCGATAGGAAATAATCCAAAAGCTCCTTTCATGTCAAATAAAACATGACAAATGAAAAGGAACCTAATCCCAAGAGCATGGTTTAATTACCTCCCCAACTCTGGATCCTTAGCAGGACAAACAGATTGGACTTTAGTTATATGCTCAGGCAAGTACCAGGACCCTGAGTACTGTGGCCTCAATTTCCTGGGATCTGATCCATGGTTAAGTGGACCCTCATTCCAGAATTTCTCTATGACCTCTAACTAGTCCTCTTAACTACTTTTAAGCCAGTAGACGATCTGAAGAGATGGGTCAAGAAGCAATGGGCAATACATGGAAACCTGTAAAATTGTTCTGGATCAAAGAGGTAGAGCCTTACTGTAATTTTCCCTTTTTCTTTCAGAACTACAAATGCCCTTCCGGCTGCAGGATGAAAGGGTTGATTGATGAAGTCAATCAAGATTTTACAAACAGAATAAACAAGCTCAGAAACTCACTATTTGATTATCAGAAGAACAATAAGGATTCTAACTCAGTGACCAGAAATATAATGGAAATTTTGAGAGGGGACTTCGCCACAGCCAATAGTAAGTATTACATATTTAGTGCTTTGACTTTATAGCGAAAACAACAAAAATCCTGAATAAGTATGATGTCTGCTTATAACTGCTGCAGTTTTCTTCCAAAGTACTTAGTGTAGAAACACATGCCTCCATAATATCCCTGAACTTTAAGGAGGGGCTTGTTTTTGTTATTTTTACAAAGTAAAATGAAAGATTAGCTTAGATTCCTTAAGGTCATAAGGTAAGTCAGAATTTTAGATTGAATACAAGAATTTAAGTTTGTTCTTTTTGAGAGTATATACTGAAAATAAGATGGGCCTGACCCTTTGAGTTGATATTTTTGTTTCTGTCTTACGGAGGAGGAACCTGAGAGGTCAAAGGACTTGCTCAAAGACATAAAGCTAGGATGCAGCCCCCAGATTCCATTGAGCTAATTACAAAGATTTTTACATTTAAAATATAGGGTCATGCTACATCTTTCTTATAGGGGACTCCTGAGGGCCAGGAAACATTGCACTCACTCTGGGCATGGGCAGCAAGCCTACGGAGGCCTCAGTTCCTAAATCCATGCTTTCACTCTTTCTGCCTTCAGAAGACATTTGACTAATTTAACGTCAATAACACATTAGCTGGCAAGCAAATGATCCTGTTGACCAAAAAAAGCTTAAGAACAATTTTCAAATCTATAGATGGGAAGAAAAATTCTGCAGTAAGAAAATCCAACAATATGTTCAAGTCCCTTGATTGAAAATATGATATAATAATTGGAATGAGATCAAACAATTATTTTAACTCCTCATTATACCTTTACGATTCCAAAGAAATTTCTTCTTTGTTTTATTGGGATTAATAGTTACTAGTAGGACATCTTCACTGACATCCATGGATGACTGGGGGACATGTCACTGTCGAATGCCTAATAGGTTTGGAACTCACAGATTAAACTGTAACAAACTCCATCCAAAAATAAAATATGCAAATATTTATAAGAAATTTCTTCTTTTTATTTTTTGCTCGCAGTTACAGGCCAATCACTCAGCAGCTACTTCAATGTCCATATTTTTCTATTTCAGACCATGACAGTGCATATAACCAAGTGTCAGAAGATCTGAGAAGCAGAATTGAGGTCCTGAAGCGCAAAGTCATAGAAAAAGTACAGCAAATTCAACTTCTGCAGAACAACGTTAGGTCTCAGCTGGTAGATATGAAACGGCTGGAGGTAAGTATGTGACTCTGCCCCCAGATTTCCTTGTTTTGGAATAGTAGAAAAAAGGAAGGCAATAGTCATGCATTGAATGTCTACTATATGCAGACAAAAGTGTTATATCCATTATCTTCCCAAAAGTAGGCATTATTTTCCCTACTCTATAGATGAAGAAAAAGGTTCAGAGACATTAAGTACATTTTCTAAGGGCACATAGATAGTACGTTTCAAAAGCAAATGTTCTGTTTCTGTCTAATTCCAAAGCCCTTGATACCACCACCATGCTTCTGAGTCTTTGGCCTCAGTCTTACCGAGGATTCCTTAATTAGTGTTTTGGTTCAGAGGCAATAGCACCTTACTCTTGATCCATTCTAAGGCTATGATGAATCCAGATAGCACCCATTGCTTATCCTGGTTGGCCTTGCACTGCTCAATATCTTCTTCACTGAGGATGCTAGATAAGCAGGAAGTAAAGAGTATTGATTGGTAGGTTTCCAAGTCGAAAAAATGAAACCAGTTTCCAAAAAATAAATTAACTACCCAGGACTCAGTAGATGTAGTTTATTTATTTATAATGACATTTTCTCTTTATTTTTCTCCCCTTTGTCTAGGTGGACATTGATATTAAGATCCGATCTTGCAAAGGGTCTTGCAGTAGGGCTTTAAATCATCAGGTAGATCTAAAGGACTATGAAGATCAGCAGAAACAACTCGAACAGGTCATTGCCAAAAATTTACTTCCCTCTGGAGACAGGCAATACTTACCACTGATAAAAATGAGTCCAGTTGAAGACTTGATTCCTGGAAATTTCAAGAGCCAGCTTCAGAAGGCCCCTCCAGAGTGGAAGGCACTAACTGAAGTGCAGCAGATGAGAATGGTGCTAGAGAGGCCTGGTGGAGATGGGAATGCCCGAGGAGACTCTGCATCTTATGGAACAGGATCAGAGCGAGAAGGCCCCAGGAACCCTGCTAATGCTGGCAATTGGAACCCTGGGAGCTCTGGACCAGGTAGTACTGGAAACCGAAACCCTGAGAGCTCTGGATCTGGCAGTACTGGACATTGGAGCACTGGGAGCTCTAGCTCTGGATCCAGTAGTAGCAGACATTGGAGCACTGGGAGCTCTGGATCTGTTAGTACCGGAAATTGGAACCCGGGGAGCTCTGGACCAGGTAGTACCGGACATTGGAACCCTGACAGCTCTGGACCAGGTAGTGCTGGAAACCGAAACCCTGACAGCTCTGGACCAGGTAGTACCGGACATTGGAACCCTGACAGCTCTGGACCAGGTAGTGCTGGAAACCGAAACCCTGAGAGCTCTGGATCTGGCAGTACCGGACATTGGAGCACTGGAAGCTCTAGCTCTGGATCCAGTAGTAGCAGACATTGGAGCACTGGGAGCTCTGGATCTGGAAGTTTTAGGCCAGATAGCTCAGGCTATGGGGGCACCAAGCCTACCAACCCAGACTGGGGCACATTTGAAGAGGTGTCAGGAAGTGTAAGTCCAGGGACAAAGAAAGAGTACCACACAAGTAAACTGGTCACTTCTAAAGGAGAGAAAGAGCTCCTGACTGGTAATGAGAAGGTCACCTCTGGTAGCACAACCACCAAGCGTAGTTCATGCTATAAAACTGTTACTAAGACTGTTACACGCCCTGATGGTCAGAAAGAAGTGACCAAAGAAGTGGTGACCTCCGAAGATGGTTCTGACTGTGGTGATGCGGAAGAGTTGCCTTTCTTTACTGGCGTAGGTGGCCTGGATGAATTCCGCCGCAGGCACCCCGAAGAAGCTGCTTTCTTTGAGACTTCCTTCACTGGAAAAACATCCCCGAGTTCACTTGAAACTCTGTTCAACGGGTTTGCCAGTAAGACCGAGTCTATGGGCTCAGAATCTGACATCTTCACAAACGTAGGGGCCTCCAGCTCTCGTCGCTTTGGTGTACCTGAATTCCCTTCCAGTGGTAAAACTTCAAGTCACAGCAAACAATTCGTAAGCTCTAGCACAACTTACAACAAAGGAGGCTCCACATTTGAAACCAAGAGCTTTAAAATGGCAGATGAGGCGGGAAGCGAAGCCGATCTCGAAGACCTCAGAGGAGCACATGGCATCAAGGGAGGCCATGCTAGATCGCGCCCTTCCAGAGGTATCCACACTTCTCCTTTGGAGAAGCATCCCCTGACCCCCTAGACTAAGTTAATTGTTTTTGCAAAGCGCCCCCATGGCACCTTGTGCTTCTTTCCTAACTCTCTATTACACTTTATTGAAATTATACGTTTTGGGTCTGTTTTTTCATGGTAGACTGTAAGTTCCATGTGGGCAAGGCCTTTGTCTATATCATGTTCATCTCTGTATTCCCAAATGCTTAACAGAGCAGAGAGTCATCACTCAATAAATACATTTTAAATGAATGAATGGATTCTTCTGAAAGTAGATTTTGAATTTATTTAATCAAATTCTTTCACCATTCAAATTGTGTGCTATTGGAATTGTCACCCAATTGATTAATCATATTTTTAGTGTGTGTCTCAGTTGACATTTAGATCAGGTTAAAAACAAGTTGTATTTGGTACTAACTGATGCTTAGCTACCTTTGCTATTTACTGGCTGTTAGTCAGTACGTGCAAGTAAAATTCCAAATCCATCTGAGAAAAATCCCCTTTGCAATTTGCGGGTATAAATAAGTTCTATCCCAGTGTAAGTGCATTCTTTCCTCATGGAGGGAAGGAAGGAAGGAAGGAAGGAAGGAAGGAAGGAAGGAAGGAAGGCAGGCAAGCAATATTTGCATTCTTTAATCTGGGCCTATCTTTGTAAAGTTAAATGAGAGTAACTTTTTCCAACCAGCTTAATTTTTTTTTTAGACTGTGGTGATGTCCTCCAAACACATCCTTCAGGTGCCCAAAGTGGCATTTTCCATATCAAGCTACCGGAATCCAGTAAGATTTTTTCTGTTTATTGCGATCAAGAGACCAGTTTGGGAGGATGGCTTTTGATCCAGCAAAGAATGGATGGATCACTGAATTTTAACCGGACCTGGCAAGACTACAAGAGAGGTTTCGGCAGCGTGAATGACAAGGGAGAAGGAGAATTCTGGCTAGGCAATGACTACCTCCACTTGCTAACCCAGAGGGGCTCTGTTCTTAGGGTTGAATTAGAGGACTGGGCCGGGAAAGGGGCTTATGCAGAATATCACTTCCGGGTGGGCTCTGAGGCCGATGGCTATGTCCTCCAGGTCTCTTCCTATGAGGGCACTGCAGGCGATGCTCTGATTGAAGGTTCTGTGGAGGAGGGGTCAGAGTACACTTCTCACAACAACATGAAGTTCAGCACCTTTGACAGGGATGCAGACCAGTGGGAAGAGAACTGTGCGGAAGTCTATGGAGGAGGCTGGTGGTACAACAACTGCCAGGCAGCCAATCTCAATGGCGTCTATTACCCTGGGGGGTCCTATGACCCGAGGGACAACAGTCCTTATGAGATTGAGAATGGAGTGGTCTGGGTCCCCTTTAGAGGAGCAGATTATTCCCTCAAGGTTGTTCGCATGAAAATCAGGCCCCTAGTGACCCAATAGGCTGAAGGAGTGGGAGTGGGACCATTCTGTTTCCTTTGTTTAGTGAAGTGGAGAGAAAACAAGGAAAGTAAAGGAGTCAAGATTCTTTACAACCTGCTAAAAAAATTCCAGGTGCTATTTCATTATTCTTTGTACTGTAGCTAAATGTAACTGAGACGTGGTAGTGCTTTGAAAAATAAAGTTACGTGAGTTTTTTATCTTTGAATAGCTCTGTGGGTTTTAACATTTTTATAAGAATATACCAAGGGGCACTCAGTACCTCAGGAAAGGGAGTCAGACGGTAGCTCCTCTCTGCAACTTGAAGGGCATTGGTTTGAAAACTTCTCTTCCCACACCACCCAAAGTCATAGATGGCCATTGTAAAGTAAAAAAGTTATTTCCCCCATTTGATCTGAGTGGTTTTAAACCAACATTTTAAGTTAAAACCACTGAAATGAACAATGGCTGACCTTTGTAGAAGAATTTACAATTTACAAAGTGTGTTCATTTCTTCTGTTATCAAGCAAAAAAATCCAGGAAGGCAGGAGAAACATTCTTTCGTAATAGAAATGGACATCTGTTTTTTACATCTTCCACAAGACATCATAGTGCACACCTAATTTTTTCCTAGGGTCTAATCAATTTATTTCAAAAATACATTTAAAATTTTTTAAATATTTACAAGTATTTCAAAAACAGATATAATTCACACATTGATAAACAGTCCTCCCAGAATTGATTTGGCTTCATTTTTCTACCAGTCATAAACGGTACTCTGTAATACACTAGATATTATTAAAAGTAACTCATTACTTTGAGAGCAGCTCAGTAAATATGACTTATACTATTTTTATAAATTCAACATATTTACATTGGTCAATATTTTATTTGATCCAGGTGGCATCTTCAATCTTGGTGGCCTTGGCCCCCAATTTTTAATTTCTATTCAATATTTCCAGTAAGCACTACTTGCCATTTTCCTTTTAACATGTATTACAATATCCCAAGCAATCCTGTACATTTTCTTTACTTGAATAACTTCTATCCCAGTGTAAACTGCATCCCTTCTCCCAGAAAGAAAGAACAGAAGGAGGGAGGGAGGGAAGAAGGAGCCTAGAGCTAGGGGCCAGGGCCTGGGGAGCAGAGGGGAGGTGAATATAAAAGCTTGCAAATGAATCACAAATGAACCCCAATATTCTTGCATTCCCTTATGTGGAACTGAAAATCCTTGATATGAATAAGTGACACACCTTTGAATAGCTGGATAATTGGATAAGAACTTCTTCAGGATTAAAAGAAGCTTCATTTCTTTGAGACATCGGAACTCCATCTACCTCTGTTCCCACCCCACTCACACTCATACATATGCCTCCGCAGGCTCTGAGTTGAGACTAGAAATATTTTATTTTAGAGGAGCACACTATGCAGGAACAGAATGGAGCCCCAGAACAAAAGTGAACGGGAAGGGCCATTTGTTTCTAATTTATTTTGAAGATTTTGAGCTTATCAAAGGATTAGATAAACCTCTTTTAATTTAATAAACAGTAGCCAATATTACCAGAATCATGGTAATGGGACATAGTTTGGTTACAAGAAAATACATGAGACATCTCTTTTCCATTTTACCTCATCTTTAACCTATTTTTCTATTTCCCTTCTTCTGAAATTAAATATTAATTCAGCTTCTCTGATTCTCATTCACTCAGAAGTCCACGTCCTCTTGATTTTCATGTAATTACCACTCTCTTGAAATTTCTCTCCTCAGGTCAATAATAACTTCCTAAGTCTAAATTTAATGTGCTGCATGCAAGCCTCTTACTTGACCTCTTTTAAACATCTGCTACTATTTTGCACCCATCCTGCCTCTTGGATGTGTCTTTTTCTCTTGGTTTCTGGTATATCACTTCCTTCTTTTGCAGTCTTTTGAACTGGTAATTTCTTCTTAAATATAAGGGTTTCTCATTACAATAACATTCGTACTGGTCTGTATTAGTTAGAATTAGATTTGGCACATGTGGCTTCAACAAGGCAGAAACTTATTTTTGGTTCACAGAAAAGTCTACAGGACTGTGTCCCCTTAGTCTTCAGGAAGGCCTCATCCTAATAAAAGGCTTCCACCCTCCAGTTCACCTCATGGTCAAACGTCATGTCCTGTGACAGTCTGGAAGAAAGAGGACAGACAGAAGGGGAAAGGAGTACCTTCTCCTTTTAAGGAACTTTCTTGGATGCTCCATCCTGTACCTCCACATATATCTTAATAGCCAGAACTTAGTCACATAAATAAAGCTAGTTGCAGGAGAGGCTGAGACGTTGACTTTTAGCCTGGGTACAAGATTATCTTAATTAAAATTAGGATTCTACTAATAAGGAGGAGCAGGAGGATAGATATTGAGGTCTGCAATCCCCAGTCTTGGCCAAATCATGTTTTCTCACTCCACAGTGAGTGCCCTTTCTCCTGGGTTGATCCGAAAATCACCATAGCTTCAACTACCATCAATAGCTTGAAGCAAGAGAAAGACATCAACGTTAAGTTAAAACTTAGCTCTGCATGTAAACTGTTTCACAAATTGCTCCATTTTCTACCTCTGCAATTATTCATTCTACATGTCAATGACACTGAATTTCTCACTGGTACTGGAAAACCAGGTCCTTTAATGATTCTGTGCCTTTTCATACGCTACCCAGAAGACACCATTCCTGCCTTTAAAAACAGCTCAAATAATATCCCTTCTATGAATCTTTTTCCAATGCCCACCATAGAATGAATTGAATTGTCCTCTGGGCCCTCACAGTTTTTGTTCATATGTCAAAAATAGCGTAGTCTATCCCTATCTCTAACATGCTTATGTTATGTTATTGCACAAGATTGTGAATTCCTTTGGGTCAGAGCTCATTTATGTAGTGTGTCCTGTCCTACATAAGAATGTCTCACCCACTCCAAGATAATACAGACAAGTTTTAAATGTTTCCTTAAAAATT